CAATGCCGGCACTAGTAAATGTATGCGTCAATAATCACACAAGGGCTCTCTTTCTATTTCAGGTCCCTTGGCGTAACCTGGAATGGAGTGCGTGCAGTCCGGCATGGTGACCATTCACAATGACCATTGGGTAGATGACAATTTCCGAAGAATGCAGGTGGATAAGGAATTGGAAAGTACCACAACCTCTTCAACTAGTGGTAACAGTGCTGCGGCGAGACCATCTTCAATTTAACCCTGACCCTGCTTAATCCAACAGGATCCAACCCTTTTACAATTTTTGTTGGATTCTGTTGGATGGAACAGCAACACCTTGCATATTCCTGTTGAAAAATAAGGCACAGTTGGATTCTGTAAAATTTCTGTTGGATCATGGAGGACAGTGTTCCTTCCTCCATGGTTGGTTTGAGCAGGCAAGTCATGTTATATTGTCTGGTACGCAGCAACTTGGCATGTTCGATTGTGTTGGACCAAGTTGGATTGAGCAGGGGAGTGCTGGGGGACCTATTACATTTACTTGATCAAAAATATCAAGTGAGGCATGAACTGCAGCTATACGAGCATGTAGTTAATGAAGTACATGTAGGTTTGATTAATTTTTCAATAAATTTGACAAAAATTGAAAACATTTTACTAGGATGAAATGCGCCTGCACAATACTTGAATACAACAATTAATGATAGATATAATTCGGGGGGAAATCATCCTTACTCGCAGTTGAGAGGCTGAATTGCGAAGGACATGGCTACAATGTGTTCAAGCCGAAGGCATGTAAAGGCGTAGTTAAGTTTTTACTTTTTCAATGACTGCCATTGTTGATTTATCATTTAATCACGCTTGTCTGCAGACATGGTGAGCAATTGAGCATGCATCAGCCTTTGTGAATGGATACATTTAAACGGTTCTTAAAATATTTGCTAAAGGTTTACAAAATCAAACGCAAAGTCACATCCTTAGCTTCTATTGAGCTGGGCACGTCTGTACTGGGAAGTGGAATAGAAACCTGTCTTCTTTGTAATGACTTCCCATACGGTATATGGAACTACATGTATGGCATGATATCTGCAAATTGTGCAATGTGAAAATCATCCCTTCTATTTCCTTTACCGGGGAGCTATCCCTTCAATCACAAAAAAAAATCATAACACTGAAAAGCGCTGACCAAAGTGCCAACAAAAGCTGAATGTACTACATTTCTGAGTGACAGCCGCTACCCCAACGATCCTGTAGAATATGGAGTTATTTATCACTTTGGGCCATTATTTGGCACATGGAGCGAGAGAGCCTCCGATATTGAAAAGCATTTATCACCGCCGGGTGTGTGATCCGTAATATGCGACTAACTGCCCCTAAAAATAGATACAACAAGTGCGTTGAGTTGCCAACGGATAACATGGCTTAACAATGGCCCCTGGTAGGCAGCAGCTATTCTGCCCTTTGTACGCTGGGGCAAGTTTTTGGTTTGTTTGTCCTGACCCTGAGTTCATATTTTCTGACGGGATCCTATTCTTCCTGGTGAACGCATTTTTATAGCTCAGACAAATTTCAATGAAGTAAAAGGGCCTTCACGAACCACAACTATGTCGGTTCTCTCTTCTTTTCTTTCTACACTACCTGTACGTATTGTACGCCCCTCGGCTGAATTATATTGCACTGCATGGGGCACTTGTACATGTACAGTACACAATGGTACGGATATTGTGTTCCCTTCAGGTAGTTTTGTGTTGTTTTATTTTCAATGGCTTCTGTTTGTTGTGTGAAGTTTGGGGAGTAAAGGCCACACATAATGAACTTTTGTCACACTGAACTGTGGATGTACACAGACACTGTCAAAACTAGCAACCCACGCAACACAGCCACAGACATGTACAGTACTGTACAGTACTGTACAGTTCAGGGCCAGTTCTCTGGGCCCTGTGTGGCAGGTCTACACCCACTGAAATTTTAATGGAAAAAAACCTGCTATTCCTATTCCAAACCCTGACCTCAAGGTCAAACATCACACAGGGATCCATCCAGTAAAAACTGTGGATATCTCTTGCCGTGTTTAGAATCAATCGTTGCTAACCAACTGCATCTTACAAAGTCTTCCCTTGCCTGCATTTTTTTTGATGAATTAGATATTCTGATAGCTAATCTACAGAAATTAAGTGAAGTAAGGTTATTCTTTTACACTGTAGGGTCTGATAACAAATCAAATACAAACTTATTGTTGTGCTTTACACTGCACAATATTGTTGCACAATATTATCTGAATGGTCTTTTGTTTCTTCACAACTCCTACTTCCTTTTATATTGTGTAAACGTATCATGTAATATTAATAACACCTGATATGTACATGTACATGTACTTGTAGGCTCAGTCATATGACTTGACGTCTGCTTTCCTGGTATGAAAATAATGAAATTAACCAGGTTTATATGCAACACTTGTGTTTTTGCTGTAATTTTCAGAAATGAATGGATTTGGGGTGTTAGTATTTTACAGCAAATATTGTTACACTTATCCGTTTAATATTTTGTGTTCATACTAGGCGCAGGAAAAATCAGGGAAAAAATATTGTTCTTGTCGTCTGGTTCTCTGACCCTACTTCAGACGAAACACAGCCATCTACGTCGGGGAATTGTCAGGTCAGGGAACCAGACTAGCTGGCTTGCACCCGTTCGTGGATGTGTAACCGATTGCAAACAAAATGTGGACCTAACAAAATTTGGTAAATTGGGGGAAGAGTTTGAAAAAAGTTTTTTTCAACGATAGTCGGCCGACCATGGTTGCAAATTGATACCAAAATTCCACTTTTCTTGAAAATGACAGCATGAGCACACCAGGTGCCATGATTTCACAGGATGCTTGAGACTATTTTTCACTTACAGTCATATAAGGTATTTTTTTTTATAATACTTTGGTAGTTTTGGTTTTTGATGTTTGCAAATGTTGTACATGTTGTACATGTATAGTACCTTTAATTTAAGGGAGGTACAGGAAATTGTTTCATTATACACTTGAGTTGAAGTATCGCAAGTCATGTTAGTCGTTAGGAATACACACATGGAGGAATAGGAGGATATGGTTGCAATATGTACGATTCAGGCACACACATAATTCCTGCAATGTATGTTTCACGGATGTAAATTTGTTTATATTATGCTGTTGTCTTGACGTGCGTACAATTTGCAAAATAGCAACCCATAAAAATTATCATTAAATCTTGGAATTCTTTTAGATTCGGTAGCAGTATCAAAGCCTAAAGCTATACCCATGTCAACCCACAATGGTTTTAAGTGTGCGCAAATACATGCAGTATCAAGATTGAAATCCGGTTTTCAAAATATGTGTTATTTGATGTGCACAAAAAGTTAATGGCATCAAAAGTAACAGTTAACAGGTATCATAATTCATGCAATAAATCTTGATCACACAACACAGAACAGAACTATTGATGTTTATCATACAAGATGTACATTATGTATGAAACTCAGATCCTGGCAAATTCTTTTTTTTCCCCAATGGCTTTCAACACGTAGTGCAGCTCTGAGATCAGTAAGTAATCCCTAAGCAATTTTGAGTAATGGAATGTTTTGAACATGGGGAAAATATATGCTAGCTGGAAAGAAATTATTGATGTGAACTGTGTTAAAAAAAAGAAGATAACTTGCGCAAGGTGGCTATTTGAATTAATCCATTACGTATCGTATTCACTAGGTTGAATGATGATAGGTAATTGTAAAGCACCTTGGAAGATTAAAAAAGCTTTTGGCGAGGAAGACTGCTTCTGGGTAATAAGTTGTGTAAGTTTGTATAAAAATTTATTAACCCTAACGCCCTTGGCATTGTTGCCTCCATGTAAAAATTGCATACAGCCTCAATCCTGCAAAATCCTTCATTATTTCTTGAACGTAGTCCTTGGAGGGGTATCACTGCCTCAATCCTGCAAAATCCTCCAGCAATCACTGTCATGTTGCGGCAGAGCCAGTGACATCCTGGAGCAGTGCGGAGGATTTCAAGTATAATCTTGGCCTACATGTAAATTTATGCACGGCTGAGCCTAATCATCACAAGGTCAGGCCCAAGACCTTGACACAGTGCATCCTCCAAAATCAGTCACAAATTGTTGCCATAGGGGCCTATAGCCTCAATCCTGCCAAATCCTCCATTTTGCAAAGATGATTTTGGGGGATGTGGGAAGTTTAGGGTGAAAAAGCAGCTGAAGTTTAACTCCATTGGTTTAAATCATGTAAAGACAATGATGAATTCAATGGATTTTGCCGGTAGATCTGATAACTGCAAATTTGCTACAACATTATCATAATCTCCAGGGCCTTGGCATTAAACTTTTAAAAGCATTTCTCTTCAATTTTTTTCACACTAAGTACAATGTATATATGTACCAGCACCTTTATAAAGTTGACCCCATGTATTGCTGGCTGTCAAGTTTCATAAAATTTAACGACTTTAATTTTGTAAAAATAGTCTTAGAAGTTTTTTATTGAAAAAAAGCACATTGGTTATTTACCTCATTGACAGATTTGCTTTTTTTTTCAATTTCATATCACTTGAAGTTTTTCGCCACAGTAGACAATTGCTAGTATGAGTATGAATATGATGTAAACAATAGTGAAATTTGTAAAAACAGTGAATTCATAATTAAAAATGCAAGAACAGTAACTTAAAACCAAACAGTAGTAACTTTAGAACTGAAAACGGTTAAGTTCATAATTAACAAAGCAATAACAGTAACTTTTAAACTCAACATAGGGAACAACAATTTTTAACTTTTGTGCTGAAAACAATGCAAGGAAGTAAAATCATTTTCTTGACATCACCTTGGTGGTTAAGTAAAAAGAATACCGTTGGTCTCACTCAGTTCAAAATCAAAATTATTTAGTTTATAGAATTAACCGACCCTCAAAATAATATTTGGTGGAAAATGGTGATTGGAAAATGGTTAAAAAAATGGTAACGAACACCAAAATAATATAAAATAAATAAACAAAATAAGAATATAATTGAGAACTTACCCTTTCGACTTGGGGTACTTCTTGAACTCTTGAGCGGCCATCTCCTTGGCCGACCTGAGCGCCTGGGGCTCGGCCGAGATACCCAAAGCCCTCTTGATGCGAGGCGTGCGCCCCATCAGGTTGACCAAGGAGGGCGAGGTGGGCAGGACCGATTGGAACTTGTCCAGTTTGGACTGGAGCTCCGTGACATGCTCATCCCGCTGCCGGAGCAGGTCCTCGAGGTGCCTGATGCGCTCATCTTTTTGGCGCAGCGCCTTCTGCAGCTCGGTCAGGCTGCCCATGATGTTGTCGTGGCTGGTACCGGTGGGGCCGGGGACTCCGCAGTCGCCCAGCAAAATTCCTGCAACAACACAGGTACACACACGTTTTGAGAAATAGAGCCAACCCAAAAAGCTTGTACTGTACAGTCACACACGATAGTAAAGATTCCAAAGTTAGCAGCACACTCGAAGTTGCGGTCAACACAATACAAGCTTCCGATCGACTAGCACCTGCTACTGACGGATCCGCTGTGGTGTTTCCCGAGAAGACACCTGTGCAGTCCTGCCAAACAACCGTCGATTTGGCGGGCCTCGGAGGCTAGTGATCTGGCGAGAATTACGAGATCGGGGTAATATATATATTTAGACACCCGTACAACTCCGAAAGAAGCTTCACAATGCACACAGCGTGGTGCATTCCACACACCACATCATCGTCAGATCACCGTGCAATGACCGGTTGCGTGTGTTATTTGGGAATGGGAGTCGAGCCCCACCGAAGTCACACTTGAGTACCAAGCAATAATGGAGGTGTGCGCCCACGTCACGTACACATCCAAAATCGGAACCCCGTGGAGTTACCATAGCCTGTCGACTACCCCCGTGCAAGTAACTCAAAGTTCAGCTCTGTATATCTCGCATTCTAGATTTATGATTCCAGCATAGCGAGTGCATGCATTGGAGATCCGGTTCTCAACAAAACGCTGGTTGCTAACTGCTAACACCGGCCAATAATCTAGAATTTCTTATCAATTTCCGGGAGCGCAAATGCGGGCGCTATTCACACGCACGCACGTCGCGCATAATATGATACAACCCAGTCCCTACGGCGTAGATAATTCATTTGCCAACAGCGAAAAACCAATGAAAGAAATGACACTGAACACGTTTACCAAGAGAGGATTTTATTTTACCTTTTTGAGTTCAAGTTGAATACAATTAGGCTTATTTTTTCCGTAAAGATACTCTTTTCCGTCCTCGATCAAAGGTCACAGAAAATATTTGAGCAGTGAACGCTTAGGCCTATAAACGGTGGGCTAGACTTATTGATGGAGATCAATAGCGGCTAGTAGCCCGTTCCCTGGCCTTTTCTAATTGAAAATCAAAAACAATGAAACACATCAATTCATCTCAACATTTATTTACATATTGCAAAGTGTACATTCAGGTAATTACAGAAGGTCAATTATTATACGAAAGATGTTAAATAAAACACAAGAATAATAATTATGCAAGACACAAATCTCTACGAAATTATCTCTGTCATCACTTGGTAAATTTTGCTTTACAAAATCAAACGTTAGACAATTAATTCATGAACTTGAGTAATTTTACGAATGCCCCGTATATGCATCGATACAGTTATAATTAGTGTTAAAAGCTCGCGCTGACTGAATACGTTTCAATCATTCCCTTTTTTCATACTGAGGCACCAACATTGCTTTCATTTAATGTGTTGACGAATTATCATCTAAAATAAATACTCTGGTCTCTGTCCATGTGAGAAACCTTCACACGTTCTCGACAAGCTGACGCCGCCATAAACTCCATGCACACAGAAAAAGAATGCCAAAGTTTTCTTACCCCAAGAGGGCGCCCTTACACATTTCCGCGGGACAAAAATCCCGCAGTCGCAAATTATGTTGTACTGATTGTCGTCTTTGTCGAATGTAATAAGCCTCTGTACTGATGACGTCACACTTTGTTTTCGTGTGTGTTTTGCTATGGTGCTCAGTGGACAGTGGGCCCCCACTGGCTCCATAGGAAAGTGCACTTGTAAACAAAGTGTGACGTCATCGGTACAGAGGCTTATTCACAGAATGATCAATCAGAAAAATGGTGTCTGACTTCTATATTCTTCAATATTTTTGCCACTGTCTTACTGCTACAGATGCTAGTAAAGAATATCATCGGAAAATGTCAGTCAGTCCAATTAGGGCAGAATATTAACCACAAGCCTGATGTTACGAGGTGAGTTTAGGAATGGTGCCGACTGCAAATTAGTAAAAATTTACCATAAAAGCCAATAACTGCAATAATATGGCAATTAGTGTAAACGTTGAAGCCATGCAAATCAGTAGCAACACAAGATAAAGATGTTGAATGCATGAAACTGCAAAATTATCGTATCAATAAATGCTCTTGTTGCCGATGCCCTCCAGGAAGAACATGAACACTTTTTTGGCCTTTGCAGTCACGCACAAGCCACGCACACAGGCAAGAAGAGCGCGAACTCTAAGGCCACGGGGCCATAAGGAGGCCTAGGTCCGCCGTTTCTTAATGGACAGGAGTGAATTCCCAAGGGAGACGATAATGATGCGGATAAGAGTCTTAATGGCTTTGCACCGAGGAAGTCCGGGAAACCAGCAGCGAATGAAAGGCTGGAGGCGGGACAGCGCTGTTGCATCTGCAGGGGTCTTGGACGCTTGGTATGGGCTGGGGAGATGAGGGGTCCAGTCACGATAAATGAGGAAGCTGCAACATGCATTGAAATGTTTGATTTATGAAGAAAACACAGGCTTCCTTCATCCCACAGTATTTTGAAATGTGCTTCAATATGTTTATTCGTTTCCGTATAATTATTTTTCGTGCCTACTGACATCATATTTTGTATCTGTGAGCGCCACCGGGCACGGCAGTTTTGGCATCTAAATTGCGGAAAGCATAAGTCACCTAAATTCTTGTTATGATAATTATGATGTCAAGCATGAATCGACAATACTCCAGTCCTGTCTTTATACCGGCAATAAGGTATAGGTCTGAACCGGCAATATTCCAGAGTATAAACCAGTAATTTCACATAGTCTGATCCTGATCCAGCAATTATGTCAGTGTTAAAACGGCAACATCCCCGAGTCTGAGCCGACAATGTTTCACAATCTGAATCGACAATTTTCGGAAGTCTGATCCGGCAATAATAATGCTAACTGACAACATCCAAGAGTCCAGAAAACAATTCGCAAGAGTCTAAATCTGCAGCATCCGCAGCATCCAATAGCCTGCCGTTAATATTCCATGGTCTCGACTCTTGACTGACATGAACCGGTAAAATACCAGAGTCTTAACCGGCAGCACTCAACAGTCTGAACCGGCCGGGTTAAACTGGCAGTATTCCAGATTATGAACCGGCTACATCCCAGAGTATGAACGGGCAATAAATTATGAACTGGCAATATCCCATGCTTGCAGAACGTGACTGGCATTATACCAGAGTTTAAACCGGCAACACTAGACAGTCTGAACCAGCAAAATCCCAGGGTATAAACTGGAAATATTCCAGGGTTAACCCGGCAATATTCCAGATTACAAACCGGCAATACATCCCAGAAAATGAACCGGCCATATCGCAGAGTATAATGAACCGGCAACATCCCAGGGTATGAACCGGCAACATTCCAGAGTATGAACCGGCAACATCCGAGACTATGAACCGGCACCATCCAAGATTATGAACCGACATATCCAAGACTATGAACTACGGCAATATCCCACATTATGAACCGGCACCATCCGAGAGTCTAAACCGGCAACATCCCAGAGTCTAAACCGGCAACATTCAGCAGTCTTAACAAGCAATATCCCAGGGTATGTACTGGCAATATTCTAGAGTAGCACCGGAAATATTTCAGAAACTCAACCTACCGTATCCCAGAGTATGGACCGGCACAATTCCAGATTATGAACCGGCAATATTCCAGATTATGAACCGGCAATATCCCAGATTACGAACCGGCCATATCCCAGAGAATGAACCGGCCAAATCCCAGAGTATGTATACGGCAGTACACGGGGGTACGGGTATGAACCAGCAATATCTTGGAGCGCAAACTGGTAACATATCAGGGTCCGAACTGGCACAATCTGTTCCAAGTTTTTAGCAATAACTTCATGGAGTTTGACTGAACCAAAGTTTGTTAGAGGCGTCCCAAAAGAAGCATCACATTAGAAAAGTATCTAGTAAGTATTTTGTAAGTCAATCTCTTTGAATAAACTATGCTTTAGTTTTCGATCAGTGTTCAGTGTTCAACATCCCGGTTTAATCAATACTCTCCAGGAATTCCTGCATTTGCCCTAGAAGAATAACGGCACATTTGATCGAAACGTTGAGTTCTTAGCACCTACACAACTCAAAATGCTATCCAGTCGACGAGATTATCTGTATGGTGTAACCGCAACCCACTATTTTCTCCCTATACCCCAACCATGCATCTTTTCTCAAGAAATTGCATATGGACACAGATACATGTCTCTCCCCAAAAAAGTGTTCGTGTGACTATTTTTGAGATAGACTATTTGTGAAAAATTTGGGGTTGTGCATATACTCCTAATTAGCCATGGCCTCAACCCTTATGAGTTTCATTTAATTTCAGTCACGATCACTACACAATTGTCAATTTATAACAACAACATTTTTGGACCCTGTGATCAAGTTCCTTGCCATATTCAATGTTATTTACTGTGTAAATCCTTCATGTTGTAAAAAAAGGCTGCAGTTGGGATTTTAATAATTTGCCTTGCTAGCGCTACCACTCAAGACATGGCAAGACCTCAGTTTAATGCTCAAGGGCAAATGATTCCAATCCCAAATCACATGAGCTTGTTTTTTTTCACAACATGCAGGATTTTACACAGATTACATAAAACAGCACTGAAACGGATTAAGGCATGGAATTAAGTTGGTCACAGTGTCCAAAAATGTTGCTGTGATCAATTGACAATAATTTTGCATTGATACGTGACTGAAATTAAATGACAATCATAGGGGATGAGGCCAAGGCTTAGGCGTATCTGCACAACCACAATTTGTTCAAAATTAGGACCTAACCTCATGGTTTTGTAGTTGTTTTAAAAACAGCCAAGACGGACACTTTTTTTATAGGTCTAGAAGTTCGTTGAGAAAGGACCAACCTGTAACCAATTGGACGTTCTTTTCTGTCACCGCAGACTGCTTAGCAGGCTCAACCCAGCACTCCCTGAACTCGCTCGAGGCGTTACTTGACGTTTGGCGTAGCAGAGCATCCTTGGACTGTGCATCTGAGTCCCGGGAGTCCCGCGAGCGGACGGATTGCCCACTGGAGGGAAAGACTACCGATCGCTGGTCATGACACACTAGTGCTGAGCCCATGCAAATTGTAGGAGTGGCTACAGTACGAGGGGGTTGCTAAGGGTCATCAGTCTGGAAGAAAATTGAAAAACTCATAAAAAGAGTTTGAAAAGAATTCGTGTCTTCACTTACAATTGACTAAATCATAGGATATACAAACTTACTTTTTTTGTCAGTGGCATAACTGTCCGCCATCTTGTGACCAGATCAGAATTGGGGGAGGGGTGGGGGCGCAAATATGATTTTGTTTGTTTGTTAAATGTCTACTTTAAAAAAGCTCAGTGTCCCCTTCAGACAATAAGGCCTGCTAAATGTCATATTCAAATTGAACCTTAGTTGACGCCACTGTTTTTATACTAATCTTCAAAAACTTTCACGAAAGATTCTCGATAACAACGTAGAACTTAAAAAGTACTATCTAGTATATTTAAGTGACCAATATATGTTTATCTAGGAAAGCACGACATTTAATCAAGTATTACTGAAGGCCGGATAACACTGCGGAAATGGCGTGATCTGTCTTGCTAGAGAGACACACTATAAAACCGAATTCGAATCTTAAAAAAAGAAGCTCGTAAAGAAAAGATAAACAAAAGCAGCAGAGGTTGAGGGAACAAATAGCTTGGTGAACATACACAATGTTTTCACGCGTCTTATTATACGAATACAAACATACACAATGTTTCCACGCGTCTTATAAATCTAAACCCAGCCATTCATCATTACACATGTACACTGTAGTCGTAAAATCCCAACGGTCAAAATATTACTGGCGGCTCCATAGACGACGTAGTGCTGTTGGGCAGTGATTTCTCCCAAGATTGGATGACTGTTGAATATTACAATACAGACATTTTTTTTTCACGGGATCCGGGATGAAAGGCAGAATGATGTGTATGATGAGGCTCTGAAATTGAAAATTACCATTAAAATTATGTTGCGGCCTACTACCTCCATTAAAATTTATTCTTTTGCAATGTGCCCAGATTGTATATCAGGGACAAGTGGGAAGGCATGTATTTGAGTACTCAGAGTATTTCATGGGTACGGGTAGCCAGACAAACTTGGCTCTTGGATGTTAGCAAGCGGGCGTCGGACGGCGTACGACCCCCCGGCAATGGAAGAGCTTTGAGAATTAAGACTGAGCAGGAGATTGTTGGTGTTGGTTTTGGGAATGGGAGGTAGACCGGAATTGAGAGGATGCGTGCATTGGAGTCAAATGGTTACCGTGGGCGATTACTGTTGACATATGAGGAGGAAAATGTTGACAGCCAGTCCACAAGGCCGGTTACAGTGACCGGCGCCGTAAAGAGGACGACCGGAGACTAGCGACAGGAGCTGACGAAAGCATGCATGGCAGGAAGAAGACGGATGAGACAGAGATTATTAGAAAAAGACATGGGCTGGGGAAGAGGAGAAGTTACAACTACAAGATGAGCTTAAAGGGAGAACAGTTTTATCTGGATGTAGTGATGAGTAGACGTGAGGCATACAGGAGGGAGTGACAGTTGTAGGGGGAGTCTGAACCCGTGCGACACGGGACAAATTTCGTAAACTGGCGTGCACATCATCTGACACCAGAGGGCGTTGTTCAAGACTGGACACCATTGGCCACTAGGTGGCACTGTTTATGGCGACTCTTTTGCCGACAGTTATTTGCAAGTTCGGGCAAGGACCATTAGTCGACTAGTGGTTGATTTGTGACGTAACTTACGCCTGCGCACTAATAGCAACGTGCGAACGTCTCTAGTCAAACGCTGGTCAAAATGGCATCGCAAAACTTGGGGTCCTGGCTCCCTGCTTTACGTTATGAGTGCGCGCCTCTATTGGTAACCAGTGATCGGATAGGCTACAACCAGGCCCAGTAGGCTGGTTCCAAATAGTCGAAGAGCGTAGTCAACCATCGTCGACTAGACAGAGTTCGGGCCAACTTTAGTCGAACTATGGTTAACCATTGGTCAACAATAGTTGCGCGACCCTTTCTGCACGGGCACGAACGACCGTAATGATTTGGTATAAGTACAACCCCTTAGCGACACCCCTGATCATAATAGGCTTTGAAAAGAGGTAAGTAGTCCTTCAAACATCTGAGAAGACCTGAAATTCGAAAAGCGCCCACGACGTTAAAAAATTTAAACAGATAATTGATGGTCTAATAATATTTTGGGAAGATGAAAATGCACCTGCGTCGTCGACCTTACCCATCCCTAAATTAAAATACTTTACCACCCAACATTCTCGAGTTACATTTCATATCTATCACACCTTTAATCCAAAACAAATTATACGGTTAAAGTCTGGCCTGTCCATACCGATTACTCATTTCAACAGGGGCTAATCTTGGGAATCAGGCCAGCAAACTTGCAACTGTTACACTTTTGAATTTTGCATGAATCCTAGGCGCCCGAAGTGGTTTTAAAAAACTTCGACCGATATAACCATATGCGAAGGAACTGGGTCGGAGTGGTGGCATCGCCATTCATTTTAAAAACACGAACTTCTGCCCCTCCCTTCTTTTTATCCCCAGCGACGGTCGCACTCCCGTAGCACCACTTAAAAACGCTCTGTCTCAGTTGAATATCACCGCCAAAAAAGGTCACGTAACTGTCAGTGAATATGAGGCAAATCCCTGTGCCACTGCGACTCAACCATGTACCATCAGAGCCCTGAAGAGAGAGGCAATCAAATGAGGACATCATGCCAAAGAGGTGTCAACCTGCCGCAGTCCAATTTTCCTCGTGTATCGTGACACCGATCCTGAGGCACCGTGCGATACAAACGGGTGTCACCGGATCTGCCCAACCTCGCCCCTGCGGGCTTAGAGTTGGCCCACCGCGCGTCTCGAGACTGCGGTTTATACACCGTTATCACGGAAGGTGTCATCAGTCCGCTCTTCATGGGTCTGGCTCCCTTATCGCTCTGTCGTTTATTGAACCCGCCGGCAATGCACGAAATTGAGCTACCCGTGGCATGCTTACTAATTCCTTGCCATTGCCATTGCCATTCTGGTCTCTATCTCAAAACGGACGTCAGATCGGAAACCTCGATTTTTGTCTTTGTAACATCTTCGAAAGACTGATGTGTCCTGCCGGGATTACCGAGAGCCTTGATGTCCAGAAATGACCAAGACACACGGATTTGCAATGTGACACTAGTGGAAATAGTACGCTTACGACATACGTGTGCAGCTCGGAATTAATCACTATTTTTCGTGGTCATTTCATCTGGCACATGACGGGCAATATGCATTTCGCATTCAAACCATTAAGATGTATGTGTGGCTTTAGTGAAACAACCCCACAAAATGGTGATAAAACCAGCTAGATTTCCCTATAGCCGCAAACGTATATTGTGTACCATTTCTTATGGTTCCAATTCATAGAGCTACTATATCTCTATGCTCCTTTTATAATAACACGCAAACTCTCCGTAAAAAGGAAGTTGACTACTTCTCTCCATGTAAAGAGTAAAGAGCCTGAGCGTGTCGGTCCTCCAAGGAACACAGGGTTTTTTTTCCAACAAAGCTTGGGCGTCATTTCGTTTCGGCGGCCATCATTAAACTTGTACCCGGAATTGGCAAAAATTGAATATTTGTGACCACCAAAGAGGGTTGTTGTACCTTTGAGTTTTCGTAATACTTGTTGATCACTAAGTGTCTTCGATATGTGCACAGTGTCTTTTACGGATTATTCTTTTGTATTAGAACTTTATTTACCTTTTAACAAGGAATTTGTATTTTATAGCGTAAACTGGGATACCCCCCCCCCAAAAAAAAAATGGCGACAAATATATTTATTCATTCCACATGACTTGTTTCGTAAGTTTTCGAATGCAAGCTGGGATGGCAATGCCATAATGCCGAGAAAACTAGAACAACTGAAATATTCATGAAGATTTCCCGACTACTTGGCATTCCAATTTATGCATTTTAAAACAAATGTGTTACGCATCATTCATAATTCATATATACAAGACGCAAAAAAAAAAATTCTTTTTCTTCCGGAAGATCGAATCCCCGTGTGTTTTTGTTTCTAGATTCCTTCGGACAGAAAATGCATATGGCTTGAAGGGATAGCCGGGCTTACAAATCCTCGCTTCCTGTCAATTTACCGAGCAGACCAATATCTCTTCGCGTCAGCCGGGCCGGGCCGTTCGTTGTGAGGCATCGGGGGCCCAGCGGCGATTTGCGGGTACGTACCGTCCGCCGGAGACGGAGTCACAATTTATTTGATGGATTCGTTGCCGCGCTCCATCCACTGGTTAAGTATCGTCATGTCAAATTCCGTGGTTAATAGGGCACGAAAGAGAGAGAGGCTAGGAAAGGACATACAAATGTACGACCGTTTGAGGTTAAGAATGTTGACCGAGAAATGATGTATAAAACGGAGCGGTTATGTACATTATGTTACAGTGTACATACAACAGTGACGATTAAAAAGAAAAAGTAGGCATATAAATAATGAACCTTTTAAAATGAAAATTATTATATCATATATTAATGCTGTTGAAAACAGATGTATGAATCCTGAACAAAATAGGATAAAAACTCATACATCATGCAAGCTGAGCGCTTTTAGACAATGAAGCTAAACCAAAAATTGTCGGCTGCGAGTATTTTTCTATCAAGAAAAGTGGAAAAGTTGACGTAGTGTCTACAGGCTTGTTTTGTTTTTGGCCGTAGCGTGCTAAACTCGTTTGCTACCCTCTCTAAAAGTACACTTTTGAGACATTTTGGCTCACACTTGATATTCTATTAAAAGTTTGTTTCATTTCCTCCTTTTGTTTGTATCTATAATAGTATAATGACCTGAACAGTGCGACGGTCCTGATCCGATAAGCAACGGCAATATCACGAATGAGGGCGCTATATACCCTTATCACGACGAGAAAGCGAACCAGCTAATTTCTTGCATCAGGGCATGCATCACTCAACCTTTGATCAAATCGATTTTTAAACAACGAAAACACTTGAACAAAATGTTACACAGGAAATCGTTTGACCGTGGGTGAAACAGTTTCTGAAAGTTAGGACAAGAGACGGTATGTTTGGTGTCACCGACTGCCAATAGGGCCCAGTGAACAAAATGTATATTTTAAAATACATGTATATACATGTTTTTGATTTTTGAAAAACCGTGACAAATCTAACAGTTGACTGTTCGACTGACCGACTAAACCCTGTTTGTTCAGGGTGTTCCTCTGCCCTGGAAACTCATTGCCTGTGTCTCGACAATCCGACCGAGTTCTAAAGTAACCAACCCCAGATAAAAAGGCAAACACAACCAACAAAAAGGTAGCAGATTTCATCAAGTGTGCTATTCTCTGGCCCGTACTATTTACCGCATTATAGGTCTCTTGCGTTCTGGGTTTCCAGGCACTGAAGTGAGTGCGTGCACCGCATTTGGGGGTAAAACAAGCAATTATTGCGCCACGGTATCACAAATCTGTGGAGGGGCTTGTTTTCACGAACAAACAAGCGAGTAAAACATAGCCAAAAGGTCCTCTTATAATTGGTGATAATCGAACAATCGTCTCCGATCGATTGTTGTGGGTTAGTTAATCTTTTGTCAGTTTTTTTTGGCTGAATAATAAATCAGTTTAATATTTACTGGCGTACTTATTTTGGTATCACAATCTGCAAAACAAATTTCTGTGGTTATCGTACAACATATTTGCTTGATACAAGTACTAGCGATTGAAATAGAAAAAAAAAGACCTTTCATTTCAATATCTTACAAATAAATATATAAATATATCGTGCAAATAAAATTTACCTTTATATAAAAAAGGACAACAGCCAATTTCAAAGTAATTGGTAGAAAAACTCTCATTATATTGACTTTTTTTCAACTTTTTTTTGGCTTTCAACTCGAAAGTCTATATGGGCCTATCATAATCATACACTTATAAAACGACATGTTCCAGAAGCCATAAAAATTACTCCTGTTGCAACTTGGCGAAGTTAATATTGGAATGCGTGTTATCTTTAAAAATCCCGACTAATACCAGTATAGGAGGTGATTATGTTTAACGTCATGGGTCAACGATCATCATTAATGACTTGAAAATGTCACTAGGACGAAACAGCAAACAAAATTTATACCAACATTAAAATCACAGCTCTGAACCTTTATCCATACCGGTGTGCAATATATACGAATAATGATGCCGATGAAATAAGTCGCCTTTGGATGAAGTCGCTGAAGTGCGGTCGATTTTAGTCATGTTGTTTTTCGCCATTTTTTCTCACATAATTTACACGCTTTTCGTCATAAATGCGAGTGAAGCCGACACTCACCCCCTTAGGGAAGAATGTGGGGGGGGGGGGGGTAACGGTGTTTGATTTGACGATCAATGACAGTCATAGTCATGGACTCACCTTTCTATTACCATTCTAATGGTCTTTTTGACAATTTAACGCAATTTCTGCGGGGATACGAGGTTTCAAATGGAGTTACTTTTCTTCGAAATTCAATCTCTGACTGAATAGCATAGCATTGTACTTTCGTGGTTCATACATCAACTTGGCAGGGAGTACATTATGTATACAACCTTTAACAACCTGCATAATAGAGAATCCTGAAACTGCATAAACTGTGCTTATAAATAAACCCAAAGGGAGGTTCTAAAGTAGACATTAAGCCAAAGGCGACCTTATGCATTGTGTCAGAATTATGGGTCGAGTGCGAATGGGTATCGCCGTAATTTGTATATACTTCCGGGTTTCCAAAATTATGTTGTCGTGAAATTCATTTACGGCCCTCTGAGTTCATGTAGGACATCACAAATGCAGGAAGAAAACTTACAATGTAGCATAGCCCTATTCTTTTACAAGGAAGAAACAAAATCAATACCCGAGCCCACTTCTTTTGAAAAGGCACATGCACCGTGTTAATCAATGAAAAAAGAAAGACTCTATAGAGGAACTTTGGTTTGTGTCGAATTAGGAGGAGACCTGCGCCTAATTACAGATTCGCCAGACTGAGTGCTTATGCCTTTAACATTTTGATGCACGGTTCATTAAACACGATGGATCATAATATTATGATTTAAGGAGCGTTGGGTGGAAATAATTCCTCACATACTGCAATATATGCACAGGCACACGTACAACCCTCTGCATTACGTTTGATAAGAAACGCAAAACATTTCCTACTCTAATTTGATACTTACAGTCAAAGCAACATCACTAATTAGTAGGTCTACTTACCTTGTGGCAATCATCCTGTCTCCAGATTACGAATATCAAAAAAATGGCTCAACCTGACCAAGAAGAGAAACATTCGAGTCTATGTGTCTAGCTACAACAATGTATGTCCCTCCATGCACACAACATGAACAAATCGACTCCGTGAGTTGTGTGTACTGTAGTTACCCAGCCGGCAACAATAAAAGCCCCAAAGGGGAAAAAGACAGCCGAAATAGTTTGGACTTCGGATTCGAAGAGTCAACAAGCGTCGGTTATTACCATAGGTACAGGCACACTAGTACTACCTGATAACCGTGTTGACTTGAATGACAAAAAAACCCGATGCTTCTAAGGAAGAGCGTGTCTGAATTGTATCATGAGGTGGCTGGCGTTAACCTTTGTGCCTCATTTTTCACAATTTGGGCAATTAGTAGATGTATTGTGTACCGATTTAGAAATGTTTACACCACAAAGAAAACAGATGGCGCTGATTCGGTAATCAGCCTATAGCTCCCGCGCGAAAACGGTGTATTGGACATGATGGTGTTTATTTTTTTTTATCAAGTCGCTTTATCTCTTTGGTGTTGAACCACGGATTACATACCGGACAATTCTTTGAACAAACAAAAACTACAGCAATTAATTTTGATCGCGTGAATGTGATTCACACGCATCAGAGATCAGGGGTTGTGCTGAATGCCGAGATCGGCAAAATGATAATGAAAAACATTGGGAGGAGCTAGGGCTGATGATAGTTCCAAGCATGACACGAACTAGATACTAAGCTTAATGAGTAATGGACGTAGCGGAATAAATTATTATTTACCAATAATTAATAGGGCCTATAATGTATCTTTTTGTAGGTTGTGTCATCCGATTCGACTGGAGACTGGGGCTTGGAAACCCGTTATCGTTGACAGTGGCGTGAATGGGGTCCGATTTGCAGGGGGAACTTCTGTAATAATGGAATCTCAAATGAGTTTCAACAATCATAAAAGTAGCGCTATTTTGCCATCCTCTAATTTGTAAGGGGATGGGGGAGGGGAGCACTGGGCGCCACCTACAGGCTTTAAGTGGGCTTGGAAGAAGGGGGTGGGGGAGGAAGGGGAGGGTGCCCACTGAGTTGGACACAAAAGTATAAGGCAAAGAGTCAAGAAAATCTTCATGGAAGTCAACGTGGAGTTTTCGCGTTTAAAACACTACATTGTTGCGCCCCGACCATATATTATATTTATTGTTCCACGGTTTCTCATGATAGTCGTTCTCCTGATGTTACACATCGTGCTGGACAATCGGTGTACGAAATTTCAATTTCATACATTTTACATTTCTTGACTAGTTTATCGAATACAAGTTTGTTCTTTTTGTTCAATAGTGTAGCATCACGTGTTGATGGGTGCAGGCCAGTAAATTGGTCCGAAATTGCCTACGCCGGCCTAATCACGATTTGCAGAGCATTTTGTAGGCCGTGATTCTTGATGATTTGTAAAAAAGAAGGTTGGAAGCCGTGCAGAGGATTGCAAGCTCGTATTTCTGTGAAATGTGGATGAAATTACGCCCTAAAATGGCTTTATTTTGCAATGGAGCGTAGGCGTCCATTTTGCTTTTAGGAATGATCATCTTTCGATGAAATTTTCTCCCAAAAGTCATCAGTTAACCCCGAGCAAATTACACAGAAAATGAAAGATGATGAAATTAGCTTTAATTTGATGTACGTCTTAAACACCTCAGTGAGTTGTGAGCATTTTTTCCTGAATTTCTGAAGTGGGGGCATTTATCATTGGGGTCTATGGAAATTTATTTACTGGTCTGCAACCGTAAAGACTTCCGTCAACGCGGATCACGCTCTGCCCAAACAAATATGAAACACACTTTGTGGAGACGATAACTCAAGCAAAACACATTGCACTGAATTGAAATTTCGTCTAATAATTGTTTGGGACATAGGACACAAAACTATTGAAAATCGACGAGAACCCTTTCAGAATAAATTTAATATGATTTAATGAAATACAATGTACTAATGGCGAAAAATTCAATCCAAATTCAAGTCACTTTTAATTGAACAAGAAAGCACTCTTTGTGGAGACGATAACTCAAGAAAAACACATCGCACTGAATTGAAATTTCGTCCAGTCTGCAGTAATTGGTCGTGATATACGACACAATACATTTGAAATTCGACGGAAACCGTTGAAGAACACAATTAATACAACAAAAACAAAAACTACAGTGTGTAAGGGGCACTCCCGTACATTGTACCAACATCGATTTCTTCCAAAAGAGGGCGCGCTACACAAATACTGGTTACAACGCGGAACACGATCTGCCCAAACGAAGTCGGCTTTAAAGTGAACAAAAATAAAACACACTTTGTGGAGACGATAACTCAAGAGAAACACATTGCACTGAATTGAAATTTCGTCTAATAATTGTTTGGGACATAGGACACAAAACTCTTGAAAATCGACGAGAACCCTTGTATAATAAATTTAATATGATTTAAAGAAATACAGTGTACTAATCGCGAAAAATTCAATCCAAATTCAAGTAACCTTTAATTGAACAACAAGAAAACACTCTTTGTGGAGACGATAACTCAAGAAAAACACATTGCATTGAAATTGCGTCCAATAATTGGTTGTGATATACGACACCATTCTTTTGAAATTCGACAGAAACCGTTGAAGAACAAAATTAATACAACAAAAACAAAAACTACAGTGTGTAAGGGCATCCGCGTACATTTTACCAACATCAATTTCTTCCAAAAGAGGGTGGTTCGAAATTGCCTACGCCGGACAAATCAAATTCTTCAGTAGAGCATTTTGAAGGCCGTGAACTTGATGATTTGTAAAAAAGAAGGTTGGAAGCCGTGCAGAGGACTGCGAGCTCTTATTTCTGTGAAATGTGGATGATATTAGGCTCTATTTTACAGTGGAGTGTAGGTGTCGTTTGGAAATGGCGATGGGATTCATGACCGTATTTTAAGGGGTGATTATCTTCGGATGGAAATTTCTCCTAAAAGTCATCAGTTAACCCCAAAAAAAATTGAAAAGAAAATGAAAGATGATGAAAATTAGCTTTAATTCGATGTGTGTCTCTAATATCTTGGAGAGTTGTGAGTAGTTTTCCTGAATTTTTGAAGTGGGGGAATTTATCATTGGGGTCTATAGCAGTTTATTTACTAGTTTACAACCCTATGTATACGTATGCTGCACCGACCACTATTTTGTGTAGCGCGCCCTCTTTTGAATTTTTTTTTTATACTTTAGATTGAATTTTCGCGCTTAACACACTACGTTGTCGTATTAATATTATTTGTATTGTTTGTCGATTTCTCACGATTTTCAACAGTGTTATGTTATATAGTACGACCAATGATTAGCCGAAATTTCAATTCAAAAGATGCACATACGCCAAACTGGCGAAAACCTTTTCCTTCTGGGTCACTGTCAAATTCCTTGAGATTTCCCCAACTGGAAAAATATAATGGAAACTCTCAAGGTTTCCTTGAGTAGATGGGAACCCTGTTCTTTCTAAATGGTTTCTTAAAGCTTATATCAACACAAGAATTACACGATTTGAATAAGTACTCGAGTATATTTTGTGCACATTTTTTTATTATAGACAAATTTGCAAGAAACTTCCTTCAAGGGTGAATTTGATTTAAATAAAGTAATCAAACAAAAGGAATATTATTATAAAACATTAGTAAATCCCGATCTGTCAAAAACAAAATGAAATGTGGACATACTAAACAGATGTACACCGTATAGCATGTATAGGTGATGGGATTGTGCCTTTGATGATACAAGCATGGCATTTGGCACACAGTCAGAGTATGTCATGAGAAAGATATTTGGCTATAGGGCCATCGCAGATTTGTCCTTTGAAAAAATATAGGTAGAATAACAAGCAATGTCAGCCATTTTGAAAATGTTTAAACTTGCTTATTATTCTACCAATATTTTTTCAAAGGACAAATCTGCGATGGCCCTATAGCCAAATATCTTTCTCAAGACATACTGTGTACCAAATGCCATGCTTGTATCATCAAAGGCACAATGCCCCCAAACATTTCCCCTATCTGCCCCACTATTAATAGCACATCAGCAAATAACAAATATATATATATATATAGTCTAATGACTGAAATATATTTTGTACCTAACATAGAATGTACTTTGTTCTGAGAGGCTAAAAGAGCACACACACACTGTTGCAAACTATAAAGCAAAACTGAAATTTACAAAAATATGGTAGTAAAATATTTTAATTGACATTATATGTACAATGTACGGCAGGAAGGCTGGTTTGAAAGTTGATGATTGAGGCTAGTTTGTATCTGAATAAGGTCCGAGAAGCTACAAGAGCACACGTTCTATAGCACTGTTGCAAACTATAATAAAGCAAATATTAAAGGGAAACAAATATATTAGTACAATATTCAAATATAAATATGTACAATGCACAGCATGGGGGGGGGGGGGGAAGGGTTGAAAGTGACCTATATATAACTGTTGCAAACTATAAAGCAATGGAAAGAATTCCATACTGGGCCACCTTCAGACCTCCTGCCCGAAGTCTATGGGCCATGACAGAAAAAGTTAAAAGTATTTAACGGAATTTTTGCACTCCTTAAAGCTACAGTCCATCATTTGCAGCTATCCAAAAAGTAACTGACGTAATTATTGTTGAAAAACATACTTGGTTGGAAGATAGTAAGGGGACTAAACTTCCTGTGAAATTATTCTTTCTGGCAAGCTGTCATTTTGAAGAAATCAACGAAAGAAGGACTTTCCAACGGTAAGTCATAAGACGGACGCCATAACATTTACAGAATTTGAGTATGAAAGTTATTTTTGAATATCATTGAGCGTGGTATAATTTAAAAGCTTATCTTATAGCCTTATTGTCAAATGACATTTGTTTTAGAAATAACCATTCCATAACAAAGAAAAAACTGTTTTATAATCAGACCTCAGAAAATTATGAACTTCATGGAATAACCCATATACAAAGCTAATTAATGTTAAATGATTTACATGTAAATATATTTACATGTGCATGTAGGCATTAGCATATCCATTGCAATCAAGAATAAAACTGTTAAGAGTGAAACATTTGCAGTATTACACAAAAAAGACACTGTAGTCCCTTAGTTATGGAAAGAAACGATTAGTCCATGAAGCACATGTACATATATCAGCAAACTGGCCAACTTGTATCAACTGCTCTTTAGAATACAATGTAACATTGATCAGGCTCATTGTCAATCAGACTCTTACGTTTTTTTTTCAATTTCATGACATGTATACCCTATGTTAGTTAATTTGAAACCTGTTGAACTACAAGTGACTACAAGAGGATATGTTTTTTTGCTCTTCACGTTGACCAATGAACAAGGGGTGAATGATAAGTTTGTGTTTTACAGTTTAAGGAGATGAGCTGCATGTATACAGTTTTGACTGATATTATGTGCAGTTGAACTTGTTGAATGATTACACAGACAATTTTAGTTTGACATCACCAGAATGGTATTAGCAATTACTTATGCTCACATACATGATATTAATCAATGGAATACAACTCACATTCAACTTCACAAAATGTACGCACAGGTTTCTTAAATTTACACTAGTCACAAGACATTTAAGAATTTACTGTGCAGCCAGCAAGGAACCCTGTTACATCTTTCACATGACTTGATGGGAAATGCCGACCTTAAAAAATTGTGCCATTCCCAATTTTTTTTAAATTGAATCCAAAATGATTTTAAAAATCTGTAATGTAACAATACAGAAGCTGTAATGTAACAAAACGTGAAGTGGTTCATAGCTTTGCCCTCAGAACAAAAAATTGACCACATTTAACCCTAAATAATTGATACTGTCTCCTAGAGTTGAAGTCACGTCAATCACAATTCAATCACAAGGCAGGCCACAAGTAATAGGGCTGACTTTTGACAAAAGATTGCCTTTGCACAGTCCATTTGAACAGCTTCTTACTTGACTTGAGCTCGGATGACTTGTGATTGGCTAGTACTGACTTGCAACGACTTACATACATGTACATATACTGTACAACAGACTGATCCGTTAGGCCCTGCCAACTACGCATGTGGTTAACAACATGTGCACCCTTTCAATGCCACACCGCATGTTCCAGACATGCGCATCACATGCACATCACATGCACATCACATGCACGAATGTTGGACATTTTTGCACACTTCGCCATAACTCGTGGTTGTGGCTGGTTAAAAAAACATGGGGCGGGGCTTGATGGATCGGTCTATTCCACTCCTTTTTTCCTGGGTTCTTTAACTCAAGTTCATCCAGATCTCATCCGCATCAGTGATCTTCTTCCCGAACAAGTCTCTCTCCAGATCGCCCAGTTGTATCAGGAAGGCTCTGTTGGGCCTGGCCCTGGGACGCTTGCTCTTCAAGAAGGTCAACGCATCGGCAAAACTCCAGCCGCGATACTTCATCAGGAAGGACACTGTGACCGTGGAGCTGCGACTGATCCCTTGCGCGCAGTGGACCAAAACGCGGCCCTGGTTGCGCAGAGCATCTGCAACAAAGTCCGCGGCAGACTGCAGCCTGTGTTTCATGTTGGAGCTGAGCTCATCGGCATACTTCAGCTGCAGGTATTTGCACTCGCTCTCAAAGGTGTTACTGCACTCGGTGGTGACGTTGACAATGTGGGTGATGCGTAGATTCTTAATGATATCATGGCTGCTAGCGTGTCTAGCATTACCCTGATAAAGGGCGCCCTCTAGGACCTCTGAAGGATAAGTGTGGATTTCGTTAACTCGTTCCTGCTCACTGCGGATCAGCCTGTCGTTGCACAGAAACGGATACGCCGTGTGAAAAGCTCGGAATCCCCCAATCAGAATAACCGGGTCTAGCTCCTCCTCCCGCAGCCGGCTGGCCAAGCTTTGCAACACCTGGCCTGTTTCCGTCGCACTGCTCTGTTCGTCGTACAGCACGATATGGGTGTGCTTCCTCAGTTTGCCAGCGGCTAACAGACAGTCAAAATCAGTGTCGATGGCCGTGTGGTGCCTAGCAGTCATGATGTGGGATTCTGAGAATGGGTCTTGCTCGCGGGCATCCAGAATCAGCATGTATTCGTGGCAATGGATGAACGGCACAAGAAAACCGTCGTTGAAGAGGTTGTACAGGCCATGGGGAGTTTCGTAGCCATCCACTTCCTCCTGGGCTGGTAGGCTCTGGGGGACGAGGGCGCCCTCTGGTGTCCTGCTGAGGAGAGGGAGGTATGGACTGGTGGGCGTCTGCTGTTGTTTACTCTCTGCCATGGCGATGGGTGGTTCAGAAGGAGACACGGAATTCTTGACAGGAGACTGGTCACTGCTGTTTTTCTGCAAAACAAAGATCGACAGGAAAAAAAATTGTTGAAAATATGTTTTTCAGAGTTTGAAAAATTCCATATTCCATAACAAACAATACATATACCTCTATAAGGAATTAATTTTTAAAATTTTTTTGCGAGCTTTTACATGGAACAAGCAATACACAAAATCATTTTGTTGAGGCAATCAATTTATACATGTGCTTATCATCAATACCAAATCTGATCACGGTAATGGACATACTCAACAAATAAAGGATATTGAACACTTGCAATGAAGAACATCGACTGGTTTTCAAATTTTAATTCAGATTGTAAAGGGTTAGGATTTTGGACAAGAGTGTTTCATCAGAAGAGTAAGTGACTGATTTATGTATGACTGGAAGCTTGATACAAACCTGGCTAAAATTACGCCCACACAAGTACAAGTACATGGATTATTCTATAAATTTAGGGCCCAAAGTGTGACACTTTTCCTGTCCCTGTTACCTCTGAACCTTTTCCTTTGTATCATTAACAATGTGTCATTAACAATGACAGCAAATAATTTTTTTGAATTTGTTGGGTAGGTAGCTTGCTGTTATAATCACTCAAATTGGAGGACTGCAGCATTAACCCTCCGATGTAAACATACATTCTGTAGTCCTTTCAGTAAAAATGAATCAAGTAACTGTTCAACAACAAGTAAGATTTGAGGCTTTGCATGGTTCAACAACAGTTAAGAATTGCCAGCCTGTATATAGCAGGATTGACTGGCTGTGACTGGCTATGTAACTTGACACAGCTTTGCTTTGACTGTGGGTGACTGATAAGCCAGCTGTGCCCACAAATTGTCTGCTTTGTCTGTTCATGGTCTGTTGACTGAATTTGACTAGTCATAGTGCTTGCTTGACATACGATCTGACTGCTGGTGACTAGCCCGTGTTAAAAGTATAGCAGGGGAAGTGGACGGAAACGTTGACTGTCTGTGACTGTTTAAATAGCAGGAGGGTTGAGAACTGCATCCACAACTGCAAGTGCAAATCCCAGACGTCCGATGTAGTAGGGATACAAAACATGGACCCTAAATTCATAGACTGACCACATGTACATGTATGTTTTGGAGCTGCGAAAAAAAGGAACCGAATGCCCCTTTGAACTCCTCAAATAGTCACAACCTTCCAATGGCTGAAGTGTAGCCCTACTCACCAAAATGTTATTCTGCTTGTCTGGTTCTTTGCATTGGGCAACAGACGTCTTCTTCTTTGTGCACGTTGATCCCATAGCTTACTGTTGTTCGCATTGCCTGATAGTGGAAAAATAATAAATACCTACAGTTAAGCAATTGATCAAACTCTTTTTTTAAGCGGTCATTGTTACAGTTTTGAAAAGGTGCTGAACTTGTTGCCAGTAGTAGTTACATAACTCTTGCAGTTTGAATTGCCAGTTTATTGATGTACTGTAAGAGCTTAACCCACTCGACAAATGTAATTATTAGCAATCTTAGGTCCAAATACACTTGCAAAGTCAAATCTCATTCGTACAATTAAGCAAACTACAACCTTTACCCGTATGTATTTACACTAAACATACTTACCTCCCTAGCAATGCAGTGACCTTATTACAACCAAGTATCACTAACCACTAGGCAATAGGGAAGTACTGATCAGTTATGTTGACTAGATGTCGATCTGACTTGAAACAAATGCTAAGGCATAGCTCACATGCATGCAATATACAAAATGCTGCACACTATATGCATGTAATTACCGGTAGTCATCTTGTAAATCTACATGCAATGTGCATGTTTTTTGGTGGAGGCACAACTAATTCCTTAAAGTGAAGCCATCCAACTTTCTTGACACTGTGCATGTGCATGGTCTATGCACATACATGTACGCGCATAGCGTACACAATGCACCCAAGCATCAATGCCATTTGTTGACATAGACAAGCCCAACTTCAGTTAACAGTTAGACCCAGTTGAGTGATTGTTCTTTGGACTTGAGATTAAGTCAATAGTTACCAACTACAAACTGAGTTGCTGGGCCAACAGCAGCTCAGTATTTTGAGGGCTATGAATTTAGAGGTCAGACATGTTGGGATGTTTTATTAATTAAATTCGCAAATTCTGTCGTGAGAACAACATATCGATAATTGTAAGAAGGGCAACTTCCCAGGCAGTGAATCGATCACGAGGTGGACACATTAACATTCCAAGGTGCATTGCTTAATTGCCAAACCTGAATCCAAAAATGGTCGACAAGACTATTGACCGTTAATGTCATGTTTTTGTAAAACAACACTCTAAAAATAAAGCAACTAGGCCTAACCGTTTATCGCTTTTTACAATTTAAAAAAATAACAAAAAGGTCATTGTTTTTTGTGACTTAATAATAGTAATACCGCGTCATTTGACCGTTTAACAAAACTGTAAAACGACAAAACAGTCCATGGTTTGAGGACTGTGTTTGTTTTTGAGAAAATCTAAAACGGTAAAACGAAATAACGGTATGTACCGGGATTTAATAATACCCATAGTTCTACTTCTACTCAGGCCTATACAGTCATGACAGTCATGCTAATTCCGTCATGTAGTTTGTACAGAAGTTTGTGTCCGGAAATTGGCATACATGATTAATGTGGCGCACTAAAAAGGTTTATTATTTTATACTTAAACATGAACAGACAACAGGTTCTTAATGATTAAACGAAAAAAAGGAAAAACGATATGAAGTTAAAAGGCCTAGGCCTACCATCATCGTTGTATTTTGATCACGATCACATCACACTTGGTGTTTCATGTTCTTGGCTGATTAAGCCGGAACAGCGCCCTCTGTGGCTGGTTCCGCTTGTGCGGCCCGAATACCGAGATACGTGAGTTTGCAGATAAATGACCACTGACTGTGTTATATTGACAGTATAACAGAGACACAAAATTCTTGCTTATGTCGCATTTTCTCCACGACTATTGGGTCTACGGATTTTAAACTTGTTGGACGTTGTTGTCAGACTATCTAGCTCTCCATAAATGTCAAAAATTAATAGTCGAGAATTTCTCATAACAAGATACCGTCAACGTCAAGACGAGATCATATAGATGTAAACGCAGCACGGAGAGAAGCCCAAAGAGAGCTATACTGTATTGCAATTTACACACAAAGAAACTCGGGCAAAATATTCTTGCATATGTCCATTTTTCTCCACGACTATTGGCTCTACGGACTTCAAACTTGTTGGACGTTGTTGCCAGACTATCTAGCTCTCCATACATACAAAAAAGTCAGGAATATAATGAGATACCGTCAAGACGAGATATAGCAAGTAAACACACCAAGGAGTGAAGCCCACTGACAACCTCCTGTATGACAATTTATACACAGAAGAAAGAAACTCGGGCACAATATTCTTGCTTATGTCAATTTTCTCCACGACTATTTGGTCTATGGACTCCAAACTTGTTACACGTTGTTGTCAGATTATCTAGCTTTCCACATATTTCAAAAAAATCAGAAATTTCTCATAACAAGATACCGTCAAGACGAGATATAGCAAGTTAACACACCACGGAGTGAAGCCCACTGACAGCCTCCTGTATGGCAATTTACACACAGAAAGAAACTCGGGCACAATATTCTTGCTTATGTCAATTTTCTCCACGACTATTTGGTCTACGGACTCCAAACTTGTTACACGTTGTTGTCAGATTATCTAGCTCTCCACATATTTCAAAAATATCCCGCTGACAGACTACTCTATGGCAATTTACGCACAGAAACAAACTCAGGCATAATATTCTTGCTTATGTCATATTTTCCCAACGAGTATTGGGTCTACGGACTTCAAACTTGTTGGACGTTGTTGCCAGACTAACTAGCTCTCGATACATGTCTAACAAATCAGAATTTGTAATCACAATTAAGATACCGTAAACACACCACAGAGTGAAGCCCGCTGACAGCCTACCCTATGGCAATTTACGCACAGAAACAAACTCTGGCAAAATATTCTTGCTTATGTCACATTTTCTCCACGAGTATTAAGTCTACGGACTTCAAACTTGTTGGACGTTGTTGCCAGACTAACTAGCTCTCGATACATGTCAAAAAAATCAGAAATTTTTCATAACAAGATACCGCCAATACGAGATATAGCATGTAAACACACCACGGAGCGAAGCCCGCTGACAGCCTACTCTATGGCAATTTACGCACAGAAACAAACTCGGGCATAATATTCTTGCTTATGTCACATTTTCTCCACGAGTATTAAGTCTACGGACTTCAAACTTGTTGGACGTTGTTGCCAGACTAACTAGCTCTCGATACATGTCAAAAAAATCAGAAATTTTTCATAACAAGATACCGCCAATACGAGATATAGCATGTAAACACACCACGGAGCGAAGCCCGCTGACAGCCTACTCTATGGCAATTTACGCACAGAAACAAACTCGGGCATAATATTCTTGCTTATGTCACATTTTCTCCACGAGTATTGGGTCTACGGATTTCAAACTTGTTGGACGTTGTTGCCAGACTAACTAGCTCTCGATACATGTCAAAATAATTAGAAATTTTTCATAACAAGATACTGTCAATACGAGATATAGCATGTAAGCACACCACGGAGCGAAGCCCGCTGACAGCCTACAGTACTCTTAGGCAATTTAAGCAGAGAAACAAACTCAGGCATAATATTCTTGCTTATGTCACATTTTCTCTACGAGTATAGGTCTACCGACTGCAAACTTGTTGGACGTTGTTGCCAGTCTAACTAGCTCTCGATATATGTCCAAAAAACCAGAAATTTCTCATAACAAGATACCGTCAAGACGAGATTTAACATGTAAACACACCACGGAGCGAAGCCCGCTGACACTCTACGGCAATTTACGCACAGAAACAACTCGGGTAAAATATTCTTGCTTATGTCACATTTTCTCAACGAGTATTGGGTCTACGGACTTGAAACTTGTTGGACGTTGTTGCCAGACTAACTAGCTCTTGATACATGTCCAAAAAATCATAAATTTCTCATAACAAGTAACCGTCAAGACGAAATATAGCAAGTACACACACCACGGAGTGAAACCTGCTGACAGCCTACTCTATGGCAATTTACGCACAGAAACAAACGCGGGCATAATATTCTTGCTTATGTCACATTTTCTCCACGAGTATTGGGTCTACGGACTTCAAACTTGTTGGACGTTGTTGCCAGACTAACTAGCTCTCGATACATGTCAAAAAAATTATAAATTTTTCATAACAAGATACCGCCGATACGAGATATAGCATATAAACACACCACGGAGCGAAGCCCGCTGACAGCCTACTCTATGGCAATTTACGCACAGAAACAAACTCGGGCATAATATTCTTGCTTATGTCACATTTTCTCCACGAGTATTGGGCCTACGGACTTCAAACTTGTTGGACGTTGTTGCCAGACTAACTAGCTCTCGATACATGTCAAAAAAATGAGATATTTTTCATAACAAGATACCGCCAATACGAGATATAGCATGTAAACACACCACGGAGCGAAGCCCGCTGACAGCCTACTCTATGGCACTTTACGCACAGAAACAAACTCGGGCATAATATTCTTGCTTATGTCACATTTTCTCCACGAGTATTGGGTGTACGGACTTCAAACTTGTTGGATGTTGTTGCCAGACTAACTAGCTCTCGATACATGTCAAAAAAATCAGAAATTTTCCATAACAAGATACTGCCGATACGAGATATAGCATATAAACACACCACGGAGCGAAGCCCGCGGACAGCCTTCTCTATGGCAATTTACGCACAGAAACAAACTCGGGCAAAATATTCTTGCTTATGTCACATTTTCTCCACGAGTATTGGGTCTACGGACTTCAAACTTGTTGGACGTTGTTGCCAGACTAATTAGCTCTCGATACATGTCAAAAAAATTAGAAATTTTTCATAACAAGATACCGCCAATACGAGATATAGCATGTAAACACACCACGGAGCGAAGCCGGCTGACAGCCTACTCTATGGCAATTTACGCACAGAAACAAACTCGGGCATAATATTCTTGCTTATGTCACATTTTCTCCACGAGTATTGGGTCTACGGACTTCAAACTTGTTGGACGTTGTTGCCAGACTAACTAGCTCTCGATACATGTCAAAAAAATTATAAATTTTTCATAACAAGATACCGCCGATACGAGATATAGCATATAAACACACCACGGAGCGAAGCCCGCTGACAGCCTACTCTATGGCAATTTACGCACAGAAACAAACTCGGGCATAATATTCTTGCTTATGTCACATTTTCTCCACGAGTATTGGGCCTACGGACTTCAAACTTGTTGGACGTTGTTGCCAGACTAACTAGCTCTCGATACATGTCAAAAAAATGAGATATTTTTCATAACAAGATACCGCCAATACGAGATATAGCATGTAAACACACCACGGAGCGAAGCCCGCTGACAGCCTACTCTATGGCACTTTACGCACAGAAACAAACTCGGGCATAATATTCTTGCTTATGTCACATTTTCTCCACGAGTATTGGGTCTACGGACTTCAAACTTGTTGGATGTTGTTGCCAGACTAACTAGCTCTCGATACATGTCAAAATAATTAGAAATTTTTTCATAACAAGATACTGCCGATACGAGATATAGCATATAAACACACCACGGAGCGAAGCCCGCGGACAGCCTTCTCTATGGCAATTTACGCACAGAAACAAACTCGGGCAAAATATTCTTGCTTATGTCACATTTTCTCCACGAGTATTGGGTCTACGGACTTCAAACTTGTTGGACGTTGTTGCCAGACTAATTAGCTCTCGATACATGTCAAAAAAATTAGAAATTTTTCATAACAAGATACCGCCAATACGAGATATAGCATGTAAACACACCACGGAGCGAAGCCGGCTGACAGCCTACTCTATGGCAATTTACGCACAGAAACAAACTCGGGCATAATATTCTTGCTTATGTCACATTTTCTCCACGAGTATTGGATCTACGGACTTCAAACTTGTTGGACGTTGTTGCCAGACTAACTAGCTCTCGATATATGTCAAAAAAATCACAGATTTCTCATAACAAGATACCGTCAAGACGAAATATAGCAAGTACACACACCACGGAGTGAAACCTACTGACAGCCTACTCTATGGCAATTTACGCACAGAAAAAAACTAGGGCATAAT